AGAACAGAAAGTATCCTGACTATACTATGATGCTTTAGCACTTTCTTCATACTCTGCCATTGAGCAGAGGACAGAGATGCTGGGCTAAATGCTGAGTTGTATTTCAGCCAATACAGTACTTTATGTGTCTCAAGCATAGAGGTTCAATGAAGTACTATCTGAACTTGCAGTGTATTTTTACTTAATGTCAAAGAATCAAACTTTTAATAACTAAAAGGAATGCTGTGGGCTTGTATAAACTGTGGCCTTAGCAGAGCTACTGCACTACATGAATACAGCCTGTTTGATAATGCACACTTCAGTTAGTTTTGTTTTTTTTTTTTTTTAATAGTCATTTGTTCTTGTGACTTACTAAACAGCCACATACTCAAATTTTTGTAGGACCTCACAGACTTTACAAGCTATTTGTTCTTTCACCTGGAGACTATGGGCAAATGACTTTCAACACAAAAGGAGTGGATTGGGTGAGCTCAGCAATGCATTTGTTTTCCACAGATTGCTTTAATAGAATAAGTAAATAAGCACTAGCACTATTTTACTTTTATACTTTTGCATAGGCTTGTCTATCTAGACTTGCCAAGTTAAATGCAGTTTCTTACTGGATTTGTGCATTCTGCTTGTCACAAGTCATGGATATTCTGCTTGGTGTTTGCAGCACACAACTTGTTTGTTTATGGGATTGCACACTTACTTAATGTGTGCTGCTGAAACAGCACACATGCTGAACTTGGATGTGAAGTAAGTGTGCTGACGCCTGGCAGAAGCCTTAGCATGTGCTTCTGCTGGATAATGTAAGGACTCTCTGTATGGCTACACAATATACCAGGCTGTAAAGTGTTTTTCAAGTGATAGCAATAGCAACAGCAGTGGAATAGTATAAAGAGCTAGAGTGAGTCTGAAAGGAAGATCAAGGCCTATTTGTTTCAATCATTTGATGTCTAATAAATGCTGAAAGAGGCTACTGCTTTGGAGAAAGAGTCTTGTAAAAATCTAGGTTTATCCCTTAAGTTTATCGGTATTACAGATTTGAAGGGTAGACCATCTGGTGGATAAGCAATTGGCTCGATGGCTGCACCCAGTGAGCAGTAGTCAATGGTTTTGTGTCCAGGTGGAGGTTGGTGACGAGTGGTGTCCCTCAGGGGTCTGTCCATAGACTGGTGCTTTTCAATAGCTTCACCAGTGACACAGGAGATGGGATCGAGTGCACCCTCTGCAAGTTTGCAGATGACATCAAGCTGAGTGGTGCAGTCAGTGCAACAGAAGGAATGGATGCCATCGAAAGGGACCTGGACAGGCTGGAGAAGCGGGCATGTGTGAACCACATGAGCTTCAACAAGACCAAGTGCAAGGTGCTGCACCTGCACCTGGGCTGGGGCAACCCCAGACGTGAGTATGCCCTGAGCGAAGAACTCACTGAGTGCAGCACTGCATAGATGGACTTGGGGGTTCTGGTAGACAAAAGGCTCAACATGAGCCAGCAGTGTGTGCACTTGCAGACCAAAAGGCCAACTGCATCCTGGGCTGCATCAACAGAGAAGGGGCCAGCAGGTGTTTTTTTGATGTTGCTGAAATGTACATGCTAGAGTTGGTAATGCTATTTAATTCAGTAAATCAATTGAATGTTGATTTCTAACAATCTTAGTTGGACTCACATAGCTAGCAATATGATTCCTGCTGTTTCCCTGAAGTGTAAAAGTGAAAGCATAGATTCCTAAACTGCGTAATGCATGTTCTTTGGAAAAAAAAAAAAAAAGCATATAGTTTGTGTTTGCTTGCAAGATAGTGTTTTGTTCTGATAGTCTCACTTTCTGTGCTTGTACAGTAGGGTATCTGCAATCCCGTTCTAGTTTAGAATGTACTTCCTGTATTAAAATACATAGCTGCACTTGTAAATTTGATGAGAAACAAGGGGTAAATCTTCCCAAAATTATTAGTGTATGGGGTAATTCTGCTTCCTAGAACTTGAGTTGGCTTTTTGCCTGAACATTGCTTAAACTGTGAACAACAGATTTAAGAGGAGGGGATGGCAGCCTGTGTATGTTGCAATGCTGTATCCTGCAAGGTCTCCGTCCTTTCTTTCCTGTTAGGGAGATTTAAAACTTAAAACTTGAAACAGTTAATTTTACCAACACTAGAATTACATTTAGATTATGTTGTGATGACCTACGCAATCAAGACCAATAAAATATCGGAAAGTTTACCTGGGTTCAGGTATCTAATAGCAAGCCTTGAAGTTCAGGTACATGAAATCTTCTAAGGTTAGGATTGGAATTGTTTAGCTGACTTCTGGCATTAAATGAAGTCATGTGAGATGTCTCACTAGAAAAAATGTTTGAAATGGAATTCAAGTTTCGTGTTTTCAAGTCTTAGAATTTGAACTGTGAGTGTAGTTTGTGTGACTTTTCTACAGGATTTGTTCTGAAACGGTCAGATTATGTTGGATTGAGTGTACTTGAAGCTGCAAAAATGAACATTGGCTTATGAAACTATCACATAGCATGGCTGCAGTGGTCTTCTATCACCTTTTTTTTTTTTTTTTTTTTTTTTTTTTTTTTTAACAAAAAAGAGGAAACCATGTTTGTAAGACAGCAGAGAAAGTGGATGCAGTAGTAGTCCAGCAATTGCTGGTGGTCACTGCTGCATGGCTGTTATCCTCTGAAGCGTGCTGAATTGCTGGTGGTCACTGCTGCATGGCTGTTATCCTCTGAAGCGTGCTGTTCTGCTGGGAGTTCTGCAGGTGTGGTGGTCTGCCAGCAGCTTCGGTAGTTCAGCGCCATAATTCATATGCATGTGAGTTGGTGATTGTGTAGCCGGTGGTACCGTACTGAACCAACTGCTGAAGTTGGTCATCCCCCTGTCTGCCTGTGCTTTGAGCACCTAAAGCAGATCCTCTAAAACTGGTACTTCCAGATTTGCTAAATCTATCCTTGTTAGAGCTCTACTCTGATCTGGGTATGAAATCCTACATGTGGTTACCAATGTAATACTGATTTAATTGTGTACCCTTCAGGAGTAAGCAGTTGGTGTCATTGTTATGGCAGCAATGACTTTGCAATCTCAGTTTGGCTCTTAAAACACATTGCTCATTTGGGAGTTAGCTGGTTCTAGGAATTAAGCACAAATGCTGTTTAATGGCAAATGTTGTTGAACAATGGACAAACAAGGCAAGTTGTAGTTTCAATTTGCAATTTGGCTGATAACTCACTACCTTTTTTTCTCAGTGTGAATAAGTCCTAAATCTGTGCTGCTTGTTATGAATTAATATAATTATTTGTGCTAGACAGGATCTGCATCTGAATGGTATCGAAAGCAGGCCTGTTCATTGATACCATTCAGGATCTGCATCTGAATGGTATCGAAAGCAGGCCTGTTCATTGAGTATTTTTCAAGTATTCAGCTTCAAGGCCATCAATAATGGTTGTGCATAGTCTTGTTTAAATCTAGGCATGTTAGGTCACCCTGTTTGGCAAAGAGTGGGTTGGACTAGATGATATCCAGAGGTCCCTTCCAACCTCAACCATTCTGTAAAATCAGGCAGCTCTTAAAAAGGGCAAGTAGGTATTCATTTACACTATCGTGTGGAGCTAAATAAAGTGCTTTCATGGTAACTTATTGATGCAAAGTCAGTAACTTTTTGTTTGCTTATGTATATTTCAGTAATGCTGTTGTGAAGAGGGTATTTCTCAAAAGTTATCTCTGGACCTTGCCCTTGTATTTGGCCAAGTGTACTTCTGCCTGATATTGTGAAATCTTTCTTCACAGTAAGATGTGATCAACAGAACAAAATAACAACTTATCCTTTTAGTGCCTGATCAACAAACATGCTTGTTTTGCTAGACAAGCATGGATTTAGATGTGAATCCTCTGCAACTTCCAAACTGGGGACCAAGTAAACTCCCGTTGTTCTAAAACAGTCAGAGGATTGAAACCTTTAGTTATACTCTTCTGATTGATAGACTTAATTATTTCATTGTCTTCTCCTTCAATTTTCCTGTCGAACCGTCATACTCACAAACTTGCTCTGTGGTCTATCTTGAGGCGCTTCCATTGCTGTAAGCCACCATCTTTTTCACTGAAGAGGCTGATCAGCATTTTGTTGAAATATATCTCCAAATCCATATATCATATGTACGTATGAAACTTGAACAGGATGGGATTTAATGAAGACTCCTTGGATTAGGAAACGTGGATTTCATTGAAGTAATCTATGATTAGAAAAGCAAAGGTAAAGGTTTTGTAGTATGAATTTCCAAGTTCCTGTGTAACTTAATACTAAACAGACTTGCGCCATGAAGGATGAACCTTAAAAGATTCCCCATCCCCACCCTTCATCCCCCTGAAAAGGCATTCTACTAAGAAAGAATTGCTAATTTAGTAAACTTTTTCATGTAGCTGGGTAGCATGTTAGTTAGCATGTTAGTTGTAGGTGTCGTATGCAGATGTACTTCACTGAATAGATTCATGTATTATTATTCTTCCGTGGTGGAATGAAGACCCATGGACTTGTTACTTGATGCTTTAGTAACGCTCTCCTACTCCCCCCCCCCCAATTCCTATTGAATTGCACTCAATGGATCATCCTTTTCGTCTTCAAACATTTGCAGCAGACTATGGTTACTTTTGACTAGATAGGGATGTGGTGCAAGAATCCACAGGGGCCTTGAACAGAATGATAAATGTTAAGATGTCTATTACACTTTATCTAGAAAATTAGCTGTTCAGCCCAAAGAATTACTATGCATTAGTCGATACAAGTACTGATACATGGTATGTTGTTAAAGGTGCAAGTCACAGTCCTTTAGCAAGTTGATAAAACTGTTTTCTCTCATTTACCTGATGTTCTCCTGATGCTTTCTTTTGAAATCAAACATGATGTGGGTTGATCTAGAATGTTTGGCCACTTCCTCTGAAACAGAACAGAAAGCAGCTGGGTGCATAGGGACTACTGGTATGCTAGCAAGTGCAAGTATTTAACACAACATAACCTCTTCACATTACAGTATAAAAAGGAAGGCCAGAAGGTAACCAGCTACTGTAATGAGACTCTACCAGGCTGGGTACATGATGTACTTGGCCACAACTGGGCTTGCTTCAGTGGACAGAAGATTTCTTCATCTCCCTCAGATGTTCACGTAAACCAGCTACCTCTCCATAAACCCCAAGGAAGGTAAGCAACAGATAAGTGACCTTTCACTGGATAAAACATTAGGTAACTGTGCTTCAGGATTCAGCAGAAACCATATGGATCGGTTCTGTGGCTGGGGATGAAATTAATGCCAGTGGTAATGTTGGAATAAACCTTGAATGTACAAAGACAGGGGAGGCTGTGCCAGTCATATCACACAGATGCTCCTTCAGTCTGTGTTTTCCTGCAGTTACAGTTGAAGCCCAATTACAAAACTGGCATGTCTAAAAGAGGTGGTTGTATCCTGCCAGTTATAGGCTGTCTTAAATTTCAGAAACCTTGCTTTGATCCAATGATTGCATAGCTACTTATTAATACATAGCAGAAGACTAGTCCAGAATTAGAGCCTTCTCTATATTTAGTTTGGAGAATGTTTTTACATTTCAATCCCTGTTGCTTTCTTATCATGCTGTTTCATTTCTTGTTTGCAGACTTTCAAGCAGACGCTATGTGCACAACTTTGACTTTGTAAATGCTATCAATACTCAACAGAAGTCCTGGAGAGCAACAAGATACAAGGAGTATGAGAATTTTGCCCTGGAAGAGCTAACTAGGAGAGCTGGGGGTCTCTATTCCAGGACTTCAAGGTACTGCAGCCTTTTGCTTTCTCATAAAGCTACATCCACTGCTGCCAAGAATCTGCTTGTATTTATTTATCTTGACCTTTCTTAGCTGGGTTTTGTCTCGTAGTTTAGATGTTTAATGTTTCAAGCCCTTCATCTCACTTTCATGGAGTTCCAACATATTTCACCGTTTGAATGAATATTCTTAACAACTGTTGTGTAAAGCAGTTGTGACAAATGGTGTTACCCACCCTTTAATTTTGCCCAGTAACTTTCTAGTGTGTTCATACCCACAAAGAAGTGGGGACAGTGTTAGGTGCAATCTCACACACCTGTCTACCCGTCAGTAGTTTTCCATAGCCTCAAGCCTGTGCATGACAGTCTTCCTGGTCCTCCTAGTTCATAATTGCAATTAAAAAGCAGTATTCTGTTACTAAACACAAATAATGAAGTTTTTCTGAAGGGAGTTCTTGGTTACTTTGGCAACTTGCCTTGCCAGCAGCCAGGGTACTCCCTGCTGGGAGTGTAGTGAAGTAGAATGAAGTAGCCTTGTGAGTATATTTAAGGTCTTGCAGGTCACATGACAGAGTTGCAATAAGAATGGATGCATGGTTCTCCTTCTTATAATTCTTTAATGTGAGAACTAGAGTTCTTTGATTCAGAGTTTCCCTTTGGCTTTTTTACCTTTATATTTTCACATTTTCTACTTCGATACTGCTGTGGGTAGGATGCTGCTGACTCTTCCAAGCTGTGTCAGTTGTATCTTTTTGGAAGAAAGTCATACAATACTGTAATTGACTTGCATGGGAGGATTGTGCAGATGATCATGATGTCATTTGTAGACAGATGTTTCCTTGTAGGTGGTGTTAAATACAAAAACCTCTTTGGAAACTGTTGCACCGTGCAGTCCTATGACAGAGTTTTGTCATGCTAATGCTTTCAGAACAGACTCCAGTGCCTGGTGTTTGTGAATGACACTTGATGCACAAGTTATGGGATGAGCATCAGGTTGTGAATGCTGCATGCAGGAAGCTCTTGGCTTGCTGGTACATGAGCATCACTTGGCTGCAAGTGGTAAATGAGGACAAGTAGCACTTAGTGCTGCTTTAATAGTCACAGTAAAAACTTGCTCCAGGGAAGTCTCTTGGGCAAGTGGGACTGCATTTTTTGAAGTGTTGATATAAGCCATGACATAGTGTCTGCAATTAAACAGTCTGTACTTGCTGTCAATGCATGCTGCTGAGGCGAGGTGCCCTCTGCAGATAGAGATTCTGCATACCTGGTTGTAGAAGAGAGATCAAAGAGCTGTTGCAGAACTACATTGCTACCGTTGCTGAGAGTTACCTTGGCACTTCTGATTAGTTCAAAAGTATTTGACCTAACCAGCTTGTAGATGCTTCATAATACAGTTCACTCTGGGAGGGATTTGAGTAGGTCTTGCATCCTGCTGAAACTAACCTTTTGAGATTGACGCCCACTCAGCCTTGATGGAGACTATTTCAAATCACTTAGTATGAAACTAAGCAACCAGTAGAAGCTGGAAGATGGCAACAGTGTTACATGATCATTTCCTTACCTACTGTGATATGTTACTCAGAAGTATATATTTTTTTCTTATTTTTTTAGACCAAAGCCAGCACCTCTAACACCTGAGTTACTCAAAAAAGTTTCAGGCTTACCAGAATCCTGGGACTGGAGAAATGTGAATGGTGTCAATTATGTCAGCCCTGTTCGGAATCAAGGTAAAAACAAACAAACAAACAAAAAAAAAAAAAAACAAAAAAAAAACTCTGGATGAAATGCTCTAGAGTTCCTTAGATACGCTGAGATACTTAGATACCCCTTAGAACTCTGTATCCTGCTGTTAGCAAGATCTTATCCCACTTTTTTAGTGTCCTGTAGTTGATAGATGGTATCTTTACTATGAATAACTTGTGGAAACTGGGTGGAGTTCTGGGTGGCAACATTTGGCCAAAATAGAAGGTGCTAGTGGTGGCAGTGCTGTTATCCAAACAGCAGGGTCTTTGGCTGGAGTGAAAGCCAGCAACCACAGTGCTCTGCATAAAGACAGTTGTCAAGACTTGTCCAGATAGTCACAGTCATGGCTTTTTGCATGCTGACAGAACTGATCTATGTTTAATTATTTACTTAAATCCTGCTGATGGCAAATTAGCACACAGCTTTAATGAATAAATCCATGAAAATTGTTTATGCTACTCCCAAATTGTATCACTTTCCTAACTTTAGGAGTTGCTTAAATGGCTAGTTGCAAGAAGAGCTGTTGGTGTGAAAAATATGTATGCTGATAGATACATAATACCTGTGGAAAAACAATGTGTTAAACATACCAAAATGGTGTTCTTCTACTCTATAGGCAGTAGTTTTACAGCATTGTGATGCAAGATACCTGTTCTACCTCTTAATTAGATACCTATATACTGGAAAGCAGATGTGGACTAAGTTAATATGTCCCTTTCCTATATTTACAAACAAATTTGCATATGCTGGTAGCTATCCAGTTACAACTTTTAGGGGAACAGAATATATTTCTTGCCACCATGCTAATGCTACTTAAATTACTGGTCCTTGGTTTATGGTTTAGTTTTCTGCCAAATTCTGCCAGCTAGTTTCCTGGTAGCAAAAGCATAGAAAAGCTTGTGCATTCTTTGTGTAATACTGCAAGACATGGCAGGCTTTGTGGAACTAGAGTTGTCTCATATTGTAATACTTATTCTCTACTATATAGTCAAAGCTGATCTGAGTCAGGTTGCTTATAGAGCATTAATGGCCTTTTTCAGCCAAGAAACTTGTCTTCTAGAAGACAGCCCTGTCATTGTTTATCAAATTTACTAGGGGGAGAGGAGGGAAATGTTAGCTTTAGAGTTCCAATTTCTATGAGTTTCTGTAAGCTTTTTTTTTTCAGATCGAAGTACATGGATCAACTGATTTTTCACTATGTGCCCTTCTTACCCCTCATCATTTAACAACCCTTCGTGTTGAGTGAATAGAATATGATTTGGCTGAAGCTTTAGTTAACTCTGGAAGAGAATTTCTAGAAAGTCTCAGTAAAGGAGCTGCATTTGCAACTGTGACTCTAATAGTGTTAGTTTTAGATAGTGATTGTTTTCACATTAAGAGCCTCGCAAATACCCCTGTGGTAACAGGTTTAAAAAAAAATAAAGTGACTGCCGCTACAGACTTCCAGGTTGAAATGACTGCATTTGGTGTGCAAAGTACGCCAAAAATACAGCAGTTTTTTGCAGCACAGCACATCTTGTATGCTGTGACTGTACAATGAGTGGGAGGCACCTTTCACTGTTTCAGTTAGCCCCGCTGGGCAAAAAGCATTCTTGTTCAGGCTGATTTTTGCCCCTTTTCCTCAGAGATGCATCTACCTGAATGAAGGTACAATTTCAAAGTCTTGCTTTTGTAATAACTGTGCTTTTACACACCTACACAGTTCAGGAAAAAGTATTTTGTTTTGTTCCTCATGCCTCCCTCCTTTTCATAGCTCTGCAGTACTTGACTTTCCTACTGTCAGAAAACAAAAGGAAATCGGGCACCTTGGTGACAATCAGTAGATAAAATAGGACCTCATCCAAGGAATTGTCCTTTCCTGTGATTGTTGTTCTTCTACTTCCAAAGGCTTTTAATGTGTTACAGAAAGTTTCTAGGGAGTGAAGAGGCCTAAAACTAGAAGCAATACTAAATTTTGATTCAAAGGTAGGGAGACTTAGCTCTATGCCAGGCAACAGAAGGGAGATTTAAGTATCTCTGAAAAGCCAGCGTACAATTAGGTGTCCTTGGAAAGTAAGGGGAATGGGATGAATCCATTATATCAAACCCAGTGTTTATACCACTAGACTCTCCAAAGTGAGTTATTTTATGGGTAGTTCTAGAGGTGGAATACTTTTAACAGAAAGTTACAACATTAAATACATGGATAGTTCTAAATTTCAGCTTATCAGTATTCACTTAAAATAGTTCAGTGTCCCTTAGCAAATGTGCAACATAAAGGGTTATAGTCTGAGGCAGCAGGTTGTGAGCCTTCTCTGCTGTAACATGGTCTCTGTAGCTGCATTCTGTGTGAATAGCATGGATGTTAAATGATACTGCTGGAAAGTACTCAGGAGCAATATATTGTCTCTTATTCTCGAATAAACTCGGTGTTCCTTAAAAAGTTGCTAAAAGTGTTTTGAACAGAACTGCTCACATGCTTAATAGCTAGATGTATATTTAAAGTTCTTGTGCTATCAGTGTTCAACTTCTAATTGCTCTAAGATGGTCTTGCAGATTTTGACTCTTCTCAGTGCACTCCAGTAATAGCAGTACCTGAATGCAGGTGACTTACTTTGTTTATGTTACTGTCTACTCTTCAGGTTTTGTTTTTTTTCTATTTCTCTCCTCAGCCTCATGTGGTAGCTGTTACGCGTTTGCCTCCATGGGCATGCTGGAAGCAAGAATACGTATCCTCACAAATAACACTCAGAAACCAATCTTTAGTCCCCAGCAGGTTGTGTCTTGCAGCCAATATTCTCAGGGTAAGTACACTAGTGCGTATGAAGTTAACTTTCAATAATAATGACACTGCAGAAGTATATTCATAATTTCCACACCTTTCTGTGAACCAAGTCACCTGGCAGGCTATATTTTAGTACTTGTTTTGAAAGTGGTAAATATTCCAGAGTTGCCAGCCCACCTTGCAAAGAGGTGGCATTGAACCAAGAGTTCATGGCCCCTCACTAAGGACATTACTGGATTTTATGTAGCTCTGCCTGAGAGATGGAGAACAGAGATTGAAGGAACAGGGCTGAAAACATATCTAGGTTGCAAGGCATGCCTAGAAAGAGAAACCAAGTATCCTAAAAGCATATTCAGAGAGAAGGAACATATGGGCAGGGGGAGATAAGCAAAAGCAATGACTAAGGCTTCAAATTTCCAAAGGAAGAATGGTACCCAGTATATGACAACTTTTTTACAGCATGTAACTAACTGCTGTTCCTGATGGGGTGTCAGGAGCAAATGGATGAGGAGGTGGTTCATGCATTTGTGTTCCCAGTACAACTCCAATGTGCTCTGAATTTTATTTTGTGTGTTTTAGAAAGATAGCTATATCTAATTGGAATACTAGGATTATCAGAGTCTTGTGTTCAATACTGTAATCTGTGTTTCAAGATTTGAGTAGGAAATTCTCCTACATCAAATAACTCTTGAAGTGAATTAACCAGATATTTTTTGTTTAGGTTGCGATGGTGGTTTCCCATACCTCATTGCTGGGAAATATGTCCAAGACTTCGGTGTGGTGGAAGAGGACTGCTTCCCTTACACAGCCCAAGATTCTCCATGCCTGTTCAAGCGTAGCTGTTACCACTACTACACTTCTGAGTACCACTATGTTGGTGGTTTCTATGGAGGCTGTAATGAAGCCCTGATGAAACTTGAGCTTGTTCTGGGTGGGCCAATGGCTGTTGCCTTTGAAGTTTATGATGATTTCATGCTTTATAAAGAGGGAATCTACCATCACACTGGGCTGAAGGATGACTTCAACCCTTTCGAACTGACTAATCATGCTGTCTTGCTGGTGGGCTATGGTAAAGACCCAAGAAGTGGTGAGAAGTTCTGGATTGTCAAGAACAGTTGGGGCACCTCATGGGGAGAAGATGGTTACTTCAGAATCCGCCGTGGCACAGATGAATGTGCAATTGAAAGTATTGCAGTGGCTGCAACTCCTATCCCAAAACTATAAATGCGCAAGTGTTTGTCCAGTGCCTTTGTCTGAGAAGCAAATCCCCAGCCATAAGAACATACCATTGTGTTTTTTTAAGATACTATGATTGAAATACGTACCCTAGCTTAAACAGGAAAGCTTTAATAAAATTTTCCAGAACAGAGAAAACAGTTTCTCTGGGTGAGAGTATGAATACTGTAAGCTCTTCTATATGTACTGTAGGCTTCCTCTCTGGAATCTGACAGTAGATCACCTAGAATGCAGTTGCCATTTTGGTAACAGTGGTGATGGTTATTTGTCATTAGATAAACTTTTTTTTTTTATTTCATTCACCACTTGCATTTTCTTCCATGGACAATCTTGCACTCCAGATTTCAGAAGGAAGCAACTGCTACGATAATCTGCAGCTACCCTGAAAGGACATTGTAGTGCCTTATTTCTCAGAAATCATGAAGTCACTGCAATTTAGAACTTAAGTGCGCACTGGGGAGAGAGTGGGCAATTTCATTGATTAAAAGGAAATTTTAAAGCTTTAAGTGTCCTGCAAAAGCTGCAAGTTAAATCCTTATGACAAAAATCAATTCTATGTTTTGGGATGTTACTAAATGTTCCAGTTCTAGATTTTATTGCTGTGCTTTGCAATTGATCATCTCAGAGTTCAATAAAAAAAACACCCCATTCCTTTAGGAGTTTATACTTGTGGAATTAGTTAGTTCTTTATTTCTGTGACCTATCTTAAGTTTTGAACTTGTCAAGAACTTGGTCCTTTACGAGGTTGTAAACTGACGGGGAAGGAGGATGAGAGGAAAGATGAACTAAAAATCATACAAGTGAGACCAAGGTTCTCAGCAACACAAGGTTGGCAATACCAAGCAAGACTGTCCAGGAGCATGGTAGTCCTTGCTGTGGATAAGGGACAACTTATTCAGTAAACTGGCTAGTTCCCCAGTAATTTCTGTTCATCTCTGCCGTATTAACTTTAAATATACAGGGTAGAAGAGTGGCACTGAGGAGGGGGGTTGCAACACTTGGAATGAGCCATTTCTTTCTAGATGAAACTTAGCAACAGTACTTAATTATTGCAGTACTGGTCATTGCTGTTCCCATCAGTAGGTATGAGTGGCTTACAGATGAGGAGACCTTGTTTCTTGAGTAGAAAATAACTTTGGTAATCTGCTACAACAACTAATGACCAAACCAGTATTTTATATGTATAGAAAATACATCCTTCCCTCCCTCCCCCCCCTTTTTTTTTTAACGGCATGGGGAACTTTATAAATGTTTATAAATGGTTGTCTGTTTGTAATCAAAATGTTTCATTTAACTTAAGTGGGAAAACTCTTTTTTACTTCAAGAACTGCTTGACTCAAATTTGCTTTTACTGAGGGTCAGGGGAAGTATGGCTTGTGGTTTTGGCTGTTCTTTTTGAACCTCCATGCCAAAAAATATCCAACCATGTTCACAAGATTCTCGAGAATAGTTTATATTGTCCATTGGATCTTACTAGCTGAGGCAAGTGGGGGTGGGAGGGAAGAGCAGGGCACTTTCAACTTATTCCTTTCCACTTGGATTATGTGATACTGCTGCAAAACTGGACTATGTCCTGTAATGACTTAATGCTGTGGTAGGGGGTGCATTACACCAGGAGGATATGTAGTTCTCCCACACAACTATTTGCCTGAAATGCACAACCATGCATACATTTTCTTTTGTGTTCTCTTCCTGTTTCCTCCCATACTAGTGCTTTCCCTGGGAAAAATGTTGCTGGGGTGGGAGAGGCAATATTGCTCTTCTTTCCCCTTTTGTGGAATAGGGAGAGGGATGGCAGGGGCACAGCTTTCCCTTTGCAATCTATGCATGGTTTGTGTCTGCTGTGTTACCATGCATAATGAAATGGTGTGATGGTTCATGTGCTGATAAACAACTCTCAGTAGGTCACCCAACAACCTTTAAGCAGGGATTGATTTGAATTACAGTAATAAAACTAAAGCTGAAAATTGCTTGAAACAAAGCAATCAGGAATGAAAGAAATTTGTTGCCTGTGCTGTCATTATGGAAGAAAACAATACTGGCTGCACTGCAATGGCAGCAGCGTGCTGCCTGCTATATTGGTGTTAGAGCTACACAGCTTGACCTAATTTGGATGACAGCTTTTCTGTATGTCTGCAGCCATGCTGACACAGGTATGAACTCATAAGGTACAGAAAATGGTCTTCTATGTATAGGTGGTCTGCAGGCTTTCTCTGTCGCCTGCAACTGCTTGCAGTTTCACGACACAGGTACAATGCATTTTAAATGTCAAAATAAATGGGTATTTTCCTGAAGTTTTGGCTTTGCATGAATATGCTAGGATCTTGGATTTCTTTAATATCTCTAGTATTTATTAAGGAGATTAGCTTGAGAACAGATATAAAAGCTAGGTCATCCTTATTAGTTGTACAGTGCATTGGCTGTTAGAAAATTGGATCTTAATTGACTCATCACCAAACTACTGCTGACTGTACTCTATTACTAATAGAGACTTGCTCTTCACCATACCTTTATTGATATTAGCTACATGTGTTTTAAAAAATATTTTATCTTCTGTTAGAAATTCCTGTGTGTGTCTATATATCTGTCACTGCTTGTGTGTGACAGCAGCACTGATGCAAACTTGAGGATAGGAGAGTTCTCAGAGCTGTCTGTCACCATCACTGCCCCCAACAACTGTCATCAGATGTACTTCTTTGCCTCTGGCTGACTGCAGTATGTGAATGTCCCTGTTTTCTGTATTTCAAAGTTGCACAGAGAAATGTCAAGCAATCAGTCTGATGGAGCTGGCTATGTGGCCAACATGACTTAATTGGATCCTCGACTTTTATTTGGGATTATGAAGCTGAGCACAGAAAGTACATTATGGACCCAGATGCTGAAAAACAGATTTTTCTTCCCAGTGGCCAAACGAAATGCAACTGCAAGAGTTGATAAACCTTTTCGTAACGGTGGCTATGGCACAGTTTCCCATCCTGGGTTGCAAGGAGCAAATTCTTCTAGGTCCTCAGGAGTAGAGAAGTGTTGGGTAAACTTGACTCTTAAGTACGGAAGATTGCAAATAAACTGCTACCCACAAAATAGACCAAATGAAGAGGCACAGGACTTTGCAACTCCACATTTTTTAAGAGACTGCAGTTTGTAACACTTCTACCTGCGCTATCTGGAGTAGCTTGAAATGGGGGAAGAAAGAACACATTTGACAAATAGGTCTTGCAGTGAACAAGTATCTATTTAATTTATCAAAGGGAAGTTAATAGATAATGCCATGATTGATAAATAGAGGCGAAACAGAATTGATTATCAGCCCAGCAGAGAGATTAAAAATTTAGTTTTAAAATTGGTTACATACAGAGGACAAATGAGCTATAGTTGTTTAACAAACAGCAAGTATAGCAAATCCTGAAAATCTACCAAGGGCTGTGGTGGAGTCTCCGTCTCTGGATTTGGGTGATTTTCTAATTTGAGCATTTCCTTGGCACAAGAACTGATCAGGGAAATCTAATCTGGTAGTGGGTTTTTGAAGAAGACCTGGTCAGACCATCATGACTCCTTCTTGCTGGGATCTGAGGACTTGAAATACACAGTGACACCTAGCTTCCAAAGTTGTCAGTCCAACTTGATACAATAAACTGCACGTAAAATGACTGAAGAGGCTTTTTCCTAGATTTATTCAAACTGCTAAAATTGAGAGTGAGATTTTTTTTATTTTTTTTTAAGTGAGCTATGTTCTCATCTGTTGCTTTTTTTCTATCATTGCTGGGGGTTTAAGAACTGGTTTGTAAGGAGGAGTTAAGACTACTGGACTGCTTTAACTGGTTCTTCTGCTAATGTGAGACTTCCTGTGACCTCTGAGAACATTAATTTATATTTCTCAACTATTTGTCTTTCAAGATGTAATTAAAATGGGTTTGTAGCTATTGTTAATTGAATATATGCAAGGATGCCAATTGGAGAATTTTAACAAGCGTCTTTTTCTCAATTTTTATAGTAGAAACAAGGGATAAATGATTGTTGCTTTTTCTTTTTTTTTTTTTTTTTTTTTTTTGAGAAGAAAAAAGATGGAGTAACAAACCAGAAAATTTTAGTAGTTTCAGTCTGCAAAACAGTATCCTTTACCAAGATTTCCAGTTTTCAGTTTCTCATTCTTGATGGTCATTCCCTTCCCTTCCAAATGCCATAACATGACTTTTTCCACCAAATCATATGTTTCTTCAGAAGAAAATAACTACAACAACAAAATCTACAGGAAAACAAACAAGCAAAAGAGCATTGCTAGGATATGCTAAGTTTCCCTTAACATGAAATCTATCACTGATTTCACTGTTACTCAATGGATGGGGCTTATTTAGCTCTGCTCAAGACCATCAGCAGTGATAGAGAATATCTAGCTGGGGCCTACTGACATAGGGATGAAATAGCATCAGAAATTATGTGGCTTCCAGAACTTGCTGAAGAATAATTTCTGGAGCATCCCAGTGCTCCAGAAATTTGTGCAACATTTGTGCAACAGTGGTTGCACAAATGAGTGAGAAGAAAAGTTTTTCTGGGGTGTCTATTGTGAGGCCTACCAGTGACTTTATGAGAACCCTAGCATGTTGCAGGAGTAGGGTAAATGTATTGAAGACCCAATTTCAGGATGTGGAGATGGAGGGCAAAGGTTTGCTAATGGTATTTGCAGCATCAAAGCTGGGCAAATAGTCATCTTGGCCCATTCGTGCGTTAATGGAGGGGTGCTCAGGGGTGGAGGGGTGTGGAGATGCCCGTCCCTGGTGAGTCTCACAGCACAGTCTTAACTAATGCTGGCATTTGCACCAATGCTGTTGAGAGCAAAACAGCACTTGAGTTGTAGAATGAAGGGTATGAGACAGGCCAGGAAGCCCTTGGGTGCTACCAAAACAGGTTCACAACTAACTCTGCTTTCCCCCACAACATGCATTATGCATGTAGATGTATATTTAGCTGCCTTTTAAAAGTACAGTTGAACTCAGTTTGAACCAGTGACTCAAGGGGAGTCCAAGCGTTTGTTCGTGGTTTTGTTTTGTTTTATTTAATAAATCCTTTCCATATTCTGGATGTTATGGGCATCATGTGATAGCCAAAAAAAGAGGCAGAGTCTTTGACTGCAGTATGAAATAACAAAGTGTACTCGCCTACCCTTTCTGAGCAGTAAGTTTTAAGCAAAAAGGCTTGCACCCTTCTTGGCTGAGACCCAGGGCATACTGTGTGATCAGAAAAAAAGTGTCAATGCATGCAGTTCAAGCAAGCTGAGGTTTCTTTGCTGGTTGCTATGGTTTCTAGAAACGACTGCAGGCTGAAGCAGCATGTGAGCGTGTGTGTGTGCATGTTTAGGTTTCCAAAAATAAATAAATAAATAAGAAACATTTAATGGCAGCTGGAAAATTATTAATGACCCACAAAATCAGTTTGAAAGTTTCTACCCCAGGTGGTCAGGTGCAGAATAGTAACAGAACATCAGTTTTTATCAGGTCTGAATATCAGGTGGGGCAGAATGGGGGGAAGTCGAAGGCTTTCTGTGAAGACTTCAGTGGCACAGGTATGTATATATGCAATAATTTTCTATCTGTAAGAGGAAAGACTCTGACATATATTTCTGCCAATTATTCTTAATCACTTCATTTGGATTGACTGATCTGATCCTGC